TGTTCTGATGGTGCCGACTGCCCTACATTCATATCCCATCCTAACCATTGGGGAACGCCAGTAAATTCGGCAATTATAACCACCAGATACACCACCGAGCATAATACTAGGCACGACGCATTGCTTAGGGGCGAGACCTTGCGATGCGTGGAGTAACCCCGCGACCCACATCACTCACTCGGATCCAGCTATGCCTCGTAGCACGGCCATTTGCCCTCTGACAATACGTGGACGTCGCCGTCGTTCTTCTTCATCACCCTTGCTCCAGCTCAATCTCCTTCTTTCGCAACTGATTCGGTTTGATTAGGTGGGAATATTGTTAAATAAAGACTCGTGCTCTTGTCTCACCAATCTCGGCTTGCTGTAGCCGTGTACCTCTTGGCTAAGTATCACGTCATCAACGTGTACCTATGTCTCGTCGTACTGGAACATGAATTACATAGTATTACACCTTCTTAAGCCATGTTAAACCTTAATAACGCCGCTACAAGCCATAACGCTTGCTCATCATCCAATTGGCTTGACTGTAATCTATTTTACAACTCGCATCTAATGCTTGTATATCCAATTCATCATTACTCGTGCTTGGCCATGGCAAGTCTTCGAACAACTACATCTTATGTATTAGTCCTTTATTCTCATACTGTTAAACTGAACGATTGTATTCATTCATAAGTTTGTCAGTTATAAATATCACACTGTCACACTCCACATCCTTGCAAATCAGCTATATTAGATTACTCTCTCTTAAGCTTTATGAGAGCTTGATCTGCTAAGCGCTCACTTCAGCATCATATGGTCTTCACACATCTTTCGTTTCTCTTATAGCAAGTTAGTTGTCTCGTTCAACCTTTTTATATCAACCACAGTGTATCACTATCGTGTATTTGTATTGCTGTACATAATTGTTAGTGTATTCTATTTACTAAGATTACTACCTACTGAACCACCTCACTTGCAATTTATTGTACATAAATTCCTAGCCTAATTGCGTTATCGTGTAAATACTATGCATATAAACGGTTTAATTACCCAAGTCTGAGGTGTCCACGAGCAACTAATTCCACCGAATCTTCTTAACTACTTCGTATCCATATAACAGCGAGCGGTCCCAACAGAAGCCAACGACCAACCAACGGGCTAAAAATGCCGAAAACTCCACGCTCATCATTCCTGTTATGCGACAGAAACATGGACTAACACTTTGACTATGTCAAGATTTCTGCGCACCACCCAGAGAGAGCTTGGAATATATCTCCTGAAATTTAACCGTCACTCACAATGTCTAGTCCTATTGCGCAGCTCAGATCCTTGAACCTGTCCCGTTTCAGGAATCAGGAGAACGTACAACCATAGAGAAACACAGAGAAACCGGTTACGTAATAATAAGAACAGATGAGAGACAGTCGGAAGGAACAGTGCGGTGGACTCCAACAGAGTGTTAGTGTCTTCCTGGAAGACAACTCAAACAATGGACGAACGTGGTCGTGGCTAACGTTAACTATCTGCGCTCGCAGGTGGCAAACATTTCAGAATTACGAAATGGGCCTCATGGACGTCATCGTGTTCGAGGCACACCACCATCACGTACGACGATTTCGCGAGATAGAAACGGATGTAACTTGTGTTAGGGCTCGCACAACCAGTGAAGACAGGCCATCCAAGTGTCCAACTAAGTTCCGAGGACAGCCAGCTATAGTCCGTTTATAGCATTACCCTTTGGTCGACAAGCGCTGGTAGGATTGCGTTCGTTTCAACGCTGTCAAACGATTTTTCGTAGTCGATAAAAGTCATGACTGAGGACAAGTATTTCCGACGAACTTTTATCACCCTGGACACGGTTTGGATGGTCCACTGAGCAAAATTCCTGTCCAAATCCTGCTTGCTCAACTAGTTGCGTCTTATATAAAGTCCTTGATATATGCGACAAGATGATATCGTGAAGAGCTTATACAGAACACTCAACAAGCATATCAAACGATAGTTACGACGATCCCTCCGGTCACCTTTATTGGGCAGTGCGATCGCGCACGACGTCGTCCAGTTTCTGGGATTTTTTCCTTTGGAAAGTAGGGCGACATATAGATTGTGACAGGTGCATGCAGCATGTAAATTGCGGCTTCCAGCTTTAAGAAAGCCGGCTGTGATATCAATGGATCCTGGTGCCGTGTCTCTTCTCATGTTTTCTATCAGAACTAGTACCTTATAAGGAAAAATTCCAGGTGGTTTTTCCCAATGGGATTTTAGATTCCGGAACAGAGATTGTGGAACAGAAAAACCTAGAACTGTTGTGTTATTAATTCCATGTCATGGTGGGAAGTGCTAGTGATTCCACCTTGGTCCATCAGGCCGACAGCGAAACATTATCCTCGCACAAGTATCACTTCATGGCACTTCATGAGACTGCTCCTTTTCTGCACTGTTTCTAATAGCTTCTTCTCCTTCTACTGTTGTATATCTTTCTGCAAATCCCTTTTGCCACTAGCATTTATTGCTACCTGTGTTAAATGCATTTCAGCAGAATCAACCCTCATTTTCGTTCTCTTCTCGACTAACTCGTTAATAGTGATGGAGATACGATCTGATCTTCTTACTTGACGAATTGATGCGAATTCGGCACTACTTTTAAGTCTTTCGAGATGCAGCTCCTATTCTTCGGTCGAATCTTCCTAAACTTCCCGATCACATCTGGATAAGATTTCGTTTAGGATGTTCTTACCATACACAGCCGATTTTTTCTTCTTGATCACTGACATGGATACTTTTCGAGCTTACGACAGAAACGGATCTCTGCGCGAAGAGGACGGTGATCGAACCCAGTAAAGAATGATGGAGCTACCGATGTGTCAGGTAAGGACCATTTTCTGTTTGGGAATATGGTCGATCTCAACGTGAGTCGTGTCGTAACGGGACTCGTATGTCCAGCAGTGGATCTCTTTCTCAAGGAAAAATAAGTTTCCATGGAAGAGGTGTGCTGAGGAGAGGAGTTCTGCTGTGAGATATTGAGGCTGGCCTACTGCTGGTTGGGTAGTTTAGTTTTCCCTCTACTACTGAATTAGAATTGCAGAAGCATTTCCAGATCTTGACCATGATGAGGACCTGGCGGAAATATCTTTTCGGCAGGGATTCCTCGTTCGGTCTTCCTACTAGTTGATTCGGATACGATATTAAACTCGAGATAAAAAGTGGAGATAGAATTGAAAAAAATAGTCGACTACTCAAAGACGATTTAGGAACAGTACCAGATGCAGAGTTAGTTGTTATACTTGGTGCATCTGCTAGTACTATGAGCTCAACGAGGAAACAACTTTCCTCGATGCTTAATTCCACAGCTCATCACAGAGCGACGCCCTCAGTTCAAGAAATCTACCTAGATTCTATCTACCTAGGATAGAGCGTTTCCACCTATATTGCAGAGAGATAGCCTTTCCCAGACACATTCGTTACCAATTTCCCAACTTCGGAGAGAAGAAAGACTTGGTAAGACCGGTGTAGGATCGAACCAGCACCGTGCTCGTGATGATCGGCATCAGTACCACTGCGCTACCTTTTCTATGGTCGATACTTCTACTTCTAGAAATCGAGAAATGCAGCAGAAACTCCGAAGAGATACGACAAAAAATAAACATGGTGAGGAATTGTAGCCTGTACTGTCACTGCAGATCTACATTCCACCAAACAACTAGTTGTAAAGCAGGAACATGTCGAAAATTTAATAGACATGGTCCCCAAACATCTGCAGGAATTCCTTCACCAGAAGAACATCAGCTGAATCCATCTGAAAGGGATACGAACAAACGAACAACGAACACACGTTAACGTCCGCGAAAACCGTTGCGAAAAAGTGAAGGATAATTTCCGACACAGAAAGTAAGGATGGTCCACTTCACCACGGCAAGGATTGGCAATTATTGGAGGGATTCTGCGTGTTTGAAATATCAACAAGTAATCATGAATTCAGTGGTGGAAATTTTGACGCCCATCAGAGGTAAGGTTTATGATTCGGGAAACATTTGGAAGCACAATAGGGAGGAAAAAGACGACTATTGATAACATCCTACATGGATGAGGGAAAATAGCCAAATAACAAAAGCCTAGCTATGCTAATACTGAATATATCTTCAAATGAACTTATAGAGAATTTCGCCGCGTTTTTAGAGTATGGTGAAATTTGTCGAGTAAGAGCGAAATTAGGAAGTCATAGATGATGGCACATTTGAGATAGTCAAAGGAACGATCGTACACAATGTTGATGGCCATGAACAGTCACCCTACACAGCGAAACCACTAAAAGTTCTCGATACGTTAGCACCTCGGTGGAGTCCTTGTTGATGGTGTCACGGCACTATGTGGGAAACACTCGTTCTACTTCGATCGTGTGACATCACGAAGCTTCAACAAAGCATAATCTATAGCGTCAGGGACTCAGAGCACCATGACATTTGAACGGCACAGGTAATACCCACGACGTGACCGCAGTTTACGTCCGTAGCTCTGTCGCGAGGGAGTATAGGCATCAGTTTCCTCGGTTTGAATGCTTTTAATATCTAATTTTGTGTAAATCAACTTCTAGAACCGACTTCCTATTAACCTTGGCAGTCATCAACAGTAAGTATCATCTTTCATTCCCATCATCCATTACCACACTATTGCCACCACCGTTCAATCTACCTTTCTCACCTCTACTAAGAAACGTCAAGCCTTCCATCCTCCTGGCACCATCAAATTGGTGACAAATTTGTCTAAAGGGAATGAAAAAAAGTACTCATCTGAACATCAGTTGGCCACCACAAGACACTAAACCAAATCATATGCATTCAATAGCCTTTACGATGCTTAACAGAGTGATGAACGTCGAACCCTTTTAAAGCTTAAACTTTATGTAGAATGATTTATAGATGCAATAAGCAAAAGTGATCCAGTAACATCTGAACAAATGTACAATCATAAAACAATGCACAAGAAGGGATTGTCAGGAATTTGATTCGATTCCAGGAGGGTTACTCCGCGTGAGAGGCCATGAATTCGCGCATCCAGCTAGCCAAACACGCTGTCTCTTCCAAAGTCACTGCGTTGTACAGAGAAGCACGGATGCCACCCACCGACCTACAAACGGAAACGATTATTCGACAGTTTCGAAACGTCTCAACTTCAAGACTATTCCAGAATATGACCACATTAACAGTAAAATATGCCACAATGCTCGACCACAGAAAGGAAAACGAAAAGAATTGCTCAGCGCATGGACTTTAGAACTTCCCACCACAGATCGGTTTACACTTTATGTAGAATGAACTATTCTTTCAACGACAAAACTACTACATCTTGCTTTTCTGTTCTTATTACATCTTTCTTGCTGGAACCATTGGAAGGAAAGCAAAGCGCAAAAACAGCAACACAAGGTTTTACATGTGCACAACCTTTCACTACTACCTATTTAACAGACCTCCACCCAAGCATAGCTACCAGAGAGGTACCACGCAGAAAAACAGAAAGCACTCAACCGATTGACATGTCTAGTATGTACCACACCTGTGTCCCTTGAGTGAGAGCATCCCTCTGTCTGTGGCTCCTTTTAAGAACTCAGCCTCCAACTGCTCGTCACTGTCCTTGATTCGGAAGCAAACGTTCATATTACTGCGATATTTCCTATTCACTGCACATTTGTAGAAACTGTTCGAATTGTCAATGATGTCGTACAACATGCCAGCTTTGTTCTGTACAAGATAAGGTCTTTTGTTGGAATACTGCTTCGCAATGAGATCGTTTGAAGAGAAACCTTATTATAATGCTGAGATATTTTCAAAACTCCGGACCGCTCCCCAGATCAATCCCGTTGACTGGTGATTGCTGATGGCAAAAGATCGATAGAACTAGCTGAGAGATAAGCGACCCGCATGGTGTGGTGGTGAAGTGCGCTACTCCCTGGAAAGGACAATAGCGCGTTCGTTCCCCACCGCAGACACCTGCGGTCCGGAGTTTTGCAAATATCTCAGCATTATAGTAGTTATATTTCGCAAAATGCCCTGCCGTTAAAAAGAACAGGCAGTAAATAAAAAGGTTAAGAAACCTTATTTATTTCCGAAATCGCCCCCACACCACCTTTGTCTCGTATCCATTTCAGCACTAAATTTGTTACGTATACTCTGAAAAATGAAGCGGTTTTCATCCGAATGTTTTCGTTTGGCGTTGTTCCAAAGAGCGAACTCGCTGACTGAAAAACAGGTCAATGTCTAGGTGTCCGAAGAAGACAGCATACCCGAAAACTGTGGGAGTGTTGTACAGGCTATTGTTGTCACTCATCTCTTTGTAGCAGAGAATAGCTGGCGTTGTCGGTTGATGCTGAAAGTTGCAGATTTATGGCTCGTTTACGGTACATACGCAAGAAAAACAGCTAAATGACCCCCAGTGAAGAAAAGTGGTACTACTCGCCTTTCCAATCAAATCCTTACGAACCATCACGACGGTAACGCCTGCAGTTCCGAGGTTCTTCTGTGTACCGCCGAATACGACGCCATGCTAAAAACTCACCTTTGCTATTTGCTCTGTTAATGATTTATCACATTGGATTGGGTTAATATACGGACTTGTTTCCGGTTTTTGTAGACTATCAATAAAAAGTATTAATGCTGTTAGGGTATTATGCACTAAGCCGAAAAACACAACGAGAAGAAAAGCAAAAATTCTGTTTCGACCTTTAAGAGAGGATATGCAGAAGAAACAACTAAACCTCTAACTCACATTGGAGAAGTCGAAGGGACGAGATAGGAAATTCGACGAAATATCGGCAACCAACGGTACTCCGTGCGCGGGTTTTGGAGCAGAGGGAAATTCAATGCCGTGCACGGTTTCATTGGCGCAGTAGTACAGGAAAGCGGCATCCTGAAAAGCCTCCAGTTCATACGGCACGCCCACAAGAGCTCCACCACCATCTTATGGATTTCGCAGAGTCACACGAAAGATGAGTAGTGCAACATTGCAGATCTGTCCAACTCCTTCGGTCATCCGCTCTCTAGTTGAATTTACGACAATTCGTACAAGTCAGAACTTCTCACCTTGTCGTGATCCCACTGGCTCTCATCCGGAATTGTTACATATGGTTTGCTTGGCGTGAAGACCTATGAAGTAAAAGTTATAACAACTAAACATCATTCAGATAAATTTGGACGGTAAGTCTTATGGACACAAAAAATACTGGATGACACCATATACCGCAACCCGACAGGAATTATTTCTGAAATGCACTTGACCTATAACGTTGGAAACCGAGTAGCCGGAAAGCACGAAGTTGCTTGTAGCTTTAAAAAGGGTGGGAGGTGGCAATACTTCACTCACCAACCTTCTTCACTCGGAGGTACTTACTTCCTTCTTCGGCGGCTTTATTCGACCACGCACCGGTAACCATATAATCAGCGAACTCATGATCGCCCTAAAAAAGAACCATAGTAGAATTCAGAACACCTTTTTCACTTCGAGCTTTAAAGAAATTGGAAACACAACATCTGCAAAACCAATTTTAAGATGGTGTCTGCCCCCATGACACTACCAGGTTTCTGGCGTAGTGTGTTTTTTCCACTATAAACGACTTCATAGTATCCATCTTTAAAATACCATAAATAAAATACATAAAATAAATAGTTAGCCATGATGTACAAACACCACCATGAGCCACACACCTTTAAATTCATCGGGACTGCAGCGAATTGTCCAGTGCCTCCACCTTGCATAAAGAGAATCTCGAATTCGTCAGGAACACTCCTGAGCAGTCAACAAAATGCATATTCATGATTACAACAGTATTGAGCAATGGTTTATGTGGGTAAAATCTATGTAAACTTTGGCTCTTCTCTTGATCACAATCGAAGTGTCATAAGTGTCTTGTAAGAGGGAACACTATAAATCTTACAGAACCTACATAAGTTCCCGAAGAAGCTGCTTGGTTTCTTGCAGGAGCTCAGCAAATTCCTTTGAGCGATGAGATATTTCTAAAGAATGAATATTGGAAAGGTGGAATATTGGAATATTCATTACACTTCCATGCGCTATCCTGCTCGCTAGGAAACTAGCAGCGATGAGCGACATAGATAGTTAATAGCCACACCTTGTGTATAACCTCTTGGGTGACTTTCGAATTACTGCTACGAAATGAAGAGCAAAAAATGCTATATCAGTACCTAATATGCCAATACCCGTTCCTCTGAAGTTGATCGTTTCATCACAGGCCTTTAAGAGGACCTAAAAACAGTCATTGTGTCACCCTAGACCGAATGATACAGGAACCAAGAATTTACCTCTTCAGGAATCTTGGCTGGCCCTGCTCCAAAATTTATCTTCCTCACCTGCATCACTGGAATGGAGAGTTTTTAACGAGACAACTAATAAATTAATGTAATGCAAACTATTAGTGCTGAGTTCGGTCATTTTGTGCGAAAGAATCAGATTTAATTGACTTCCAAAATTTGTGTAAAAGATGTTAAAAACGGACGAAAAGAGCTGATATTCTATCACGTCTAACCTAAGAAGAAATACTTTGTTCCCTGCCAAAAATCCGAAATACTATTGCCTTTTGGTTCACTTCACTTGAATAAATGCGGTCCATATCTTTCTAAGAAAGCCATCAGAATTCTGATATCCACGCTGAATACTGGAACGTAGATGTAAACCTATTCAAAAAATTTCCCCACTTTTCTACGCATTCTTCCAGAGGAGGTTGTCGATTGAGGAGGAAGTCCTTGGAAAAACTGAAGAAAGTCACACTCAGCCCATGATGCTATCAATATCGGAACGCTAAGATGTCAAATGAGCCTTATGTATTATCCTAAGTACCGTCCTTATCTCTTCCAGAATTGTAGATCTTCATTACGTAGAATTATTCGGGATTCCGTATTGTTCTCCTAGCTGTAGTAAACTCCGTGCGGTTCATTCTCTCATTCTTGCTATTTAGAGTGCCAAGAGAGCCTTGCGCGCTGGTGTTTTCGATTCCTATGTGGAATGATGGTAACTTCTGCATCAAAATCTTCCTCGTTATTTCTCTGTGTCCTATGTGCATCTAGTTGGGTATTTGATTGAACTAACTAGGTGTTCCTTTATAGGTATAGTAGTTATTCCCCGAATAGTTCCTATTCTCTATACTGTTTCCTAAAGTAACTATATTAACCGGTAACCACATTTATTCTTGCATTAAGTAGGCATTTTCTCAACCGAATATATACTGTTCTTACAGTTGTGATCTCAACCACATTCTTTCACTTGGAAGTGCACTTGTCCTGCACTTATGGTCTTCTTAACCAAGAATACATTTGTTGCTTAGTCATCCCCTTATCCGGATATGAACTTGTCTAGCACTCCTCAATCGTGTCCAAAGAGCAAAGTTCTGTCACCCCTCTTCAAAACTATTTCCTTAAGTGCCCTGCCTATCATAGTACGTATAAGCAGCCACCCGTATCCTTCACCCTCCTGTATACCGTCACATTGTTAATTTTGTATTAACATTTCTATAAACGATAATAACCCCAGCTTGTGATTGTGCACCGTAGCAAAGTGAAGAAAACTCCCCTGTGGCAAATTCGTGCAAAGTCGGGCATTCTACTTCAACCTAGTAATTACTCGGTACCGAAAATTAACTCGAAAACCCATATCCCACTGACCAACTAATACACTAGCTGCTCAACTAATAGCAGCAATCACTGTCCTCAAACAATCTTCCTGCAAACCTTCCTCCGATCTAACCAACAGTACTGACTCTTTGTGGTGAACAAGTGGAAACATTCTAGTACGGCTATCTCAGGATTCAAAATAGAAGTAGTCTCAATGAAAATTCAAGCCGAAAAAAATTAAATGAAAGGAGGAGAGTACGGCCGTTCCTCAAACCACAGCCAAATTCGCGCACAAACTACTGTCGTCATAGATGACAGCTGTCAGCACTAGTTGTGATGACCGCCCATGTATTTAATACATAACGCCCAAAAGGTATGCTGTGAAATGCAAGCGTGGTAGCTGGCAAAATGGACGAAGTGCATTGCACTCAATGCACTCCTCTAATTATTTTCGTGTTTTCGTAGCAACTGATAACTTGACCAGAACGTACTGTATCAGCTCAGGCCTACGAAATACAGTTCTCATCACTTAATAAGACACATAAACTTTTTTCGAATAAGTTCACTTTGCGGCAACAATCTATTGCTGCTGGAGAGAGTACGCACAGTGAAGAATGTCGGCTATCAACAAGGTGAAGAAGTTTCTCTGTTTGAACACTGACACATAGGGACACTTTTCGCTTGGATAAGTCTACATGTCACTAAGGAGACTTCTTCAGAGTGACGCGCATGAAATTCCCACTTCGTACCGAAGATGTACATTTTGCTCGATCAATGCTGAAGCCCTCCTAACGGTTTACCGCCTCATCGTGGCTGGGAGGTGTTCCTGGTTGCCGGATTGCGATGTACAACGGGAGGATTCGTCCCCCCGGCAGGGTCTCCCAAGCTGAGAAGGAATCCTGTATTTCCATCAGGAAGCCTAGCTGAGACTAAAGCAATACTAGGCTCCACCAACGTCTTGCTATCAAAGTCGCATGGTGGTAAATCTCCCTCTGATCCACAAGGGCTGCTACTGTCTGTGGTGGTGAAGACCTTGGGCAGACTTCGGCCAGACTGTCCTCGGGATTCAAGAGAACCACAATGGTTTAACCAGCAAATCTCCGAAAATGGTGATTATGCTGGAGCCCGCACATCTAGTGATGACGGGGCGTTTAAGTACCAAGTAAGTAAGTATACTGAAGCAGTCTAAGCAACAAGGTTTACTAGAACTCTTCCAATTTGTGCTAGCCTAATAAGTGCGTCTCACAACGTATTTACAATCGTAAAGCTTTGATACGCTCTTTTAATAGCATCCAATGTTTTTAACATTTTGGCACCGCTTTCTTCGAGGAAATGAGAAGTCAGTGGAGTGGAAGCGCACCCCTTCCAAGTGCAACGCAAGCAGACCTCGAATTAAAAGTTATTCATCGAATATTTCTGCACGTGCTCACTATAGATATTTCAGCATTCACCATATACGTCTGAGTGAGCAGGTGGCCGAAGAACCGCGCGTAGAACAGCCATCTGGTCGCCTGTGTCCACGAACCACTTCGTTGGTTGTATAAATGATAACCGCGGCCTTTATGAGCTGTTGAAAACTGCCAATTCACAAATCGTGCATATTATAGCATATCTGTCCTATTTTTCTACCTCGACACTGGAATTTCATTGCACCGTCCATCGTTCTCTCTTCAGCTTCAAGTGACTGACCTGATTGGAATGTCGTTTCTGATGCCTCCTACAGATGCTGACAAGGTGGTATTCTTTCTTCTCTGCACCAACTTTCAGCCAAGGAAAAGCTTATATATTGGTGTAGAGATGGCTTCCTTTATCTATCAAATCGTACACAAGCTTCATCATTAAGAATAAGTTGAATGCTCGGTTATTTAGGGATCACAACCGGTCTACACCAAAATTATGCAAGTGCAGCCACCTCTTAAGCGGCCTGAATCCACATTTGAATCTGTTAAATGGGAATAGCAACACGAGGATTGCAATGCTTAGAGATTCCGTGCAATCACACGCACATGGTCACTAGTTTGGCCTCGCACAGCGCAACCAACCCCCCCCCCCCACCATCTCTCCAGGGCAGGCAAATTAGTACCAAATTTGTTTGGTTGAACCTTGCTCCGATCTACATGGCCAACGACTACTTCTGTGATGAAAAGTTGGGAAAGATATAGTTGAGTTATCACAAGATTGCAGAGAAAGTCAACTAAAGCAGCATTTGACGACGTTCATGGAAAAGAAAACGTCCTCACATGTCAGCAGAACCCAAAAGCAAAATCTGAAGAACATCATGGACGAGTGAAACAAGAAAAGGAACCAAATGAAAGAAGTGTTGGGATTTGAACAATATGTGACATGTGGTTATACAAACAATAAAATTAAACAAATATGTGAGAGATAGTGGCAAAACGCATATACACGTATTTCTTGGGGATGTATGTTTTCCAAGATCGACTTTCCATTAACCTCAGCATTGAACTATAAATCTGTCTTTTCTTTCTCAGCAATCGCGAGGTTGTTAAACAGCGTACGTTTACTTCCATACAATAGCACACATACAACACAACCGTAGCTGACGTTTCGGCAGAATCGCCTTCTTCAGAGCCGTATGTTTTGTTACAATTTATGCAGAGAAGATGAACGGCAGTCTAATCTTGTACAACCTGCCTGGCTCGTCATATACATATACATATACTGTTGCTGGCAAAATGAAGGTTCCAGCCAACAGACTTTCAAATTTACATTCTGACATGGATGGATACTGGGTGCCATACTATGACGTTACAAGGGCAGAACTGGGACTTCGATAATCATCCGGTTGCGGCATTTTAGAAAAATTCCATTTTAGAGCACTAAGCCGGTGATTTCTCTCATATCAACAACGCTTGTCACTTCCCAAGACACACTCTTTTGTAGTCCATATATGACGTACCGATCACAATCAAGTGTCAAATATGGGTCAATAAATTCTTAAAAATCTAAAGATTCGCAAGATTCTAAGAATTCGGTTCAGTAGACCAAAGCAAATGTTGTCAATCCACAGCAGATCGACAGTAACCAAATAAGTACTGGTTGAAGAGTGACATGTTCCTCCACTCATCGGCGACTTCATCATCAAAACATTTATTCTCTCGCTCTGATTAACCCTCGTCAAACTCTTGGATGATATTTCGAAATCTTGTTTAAACATATCTTGGATGATAAGCACATGACCACTTTCGATAAGGAGTCGACTCTGTTCTCTCTATTAAAATGTGAACTCTTGGAGCGATACAGCAAAGTCCCTCCTATAACCCTAATGTCTTCAACTCCTGAATTACTTAACTCATTGGAAAAGCACAGGCAGTTGTAGAAAATAATCATCATCCATTATGTGATGCATTTAAAGTTCAGTTTCATAGAGATCGTATAAAACCGACAGGTATAGCAACACAAAATAAACTGAAAGCACTTCAACCACTGACATTAATGTGGTTATATGGTGCGATACAGCAAAAT